AGAGAGAGAGGGAGAGACACAGGCAGAGACAGACAGAGAGAGAGACACACACACAGAGAGAGAGACAGACAGAGAGAGAGAGAGAGACACATAGGGAGACAGAGAGAAACTAATTTGCTTAAAACAGGTGTTCTACAAACAAACGTGTTTTCAAAAAGGTCAAGAAATCAATAAAATATATAAATTTTGAAAAACAAAAATTAGTAAAAAAAACTAAACAAAGTTCAGGTCGTTCTCTACAACAGAACAAAAAACCTTTTCCTGGCACCAGATGCTTCTGAATTCTTCTACATTGTTTGTTAAGCTGTAAAAGTTGTGATCGACTTTCTGACTGTTATCTTTCTGATAAGAGTTGTGTTCACATTTAAAGCTCCAGTGTGTAAGATCAGGTGAAAGGATCTATTGGCAGAAATTTAATCTGGGAAGAACTCTTCTACTTGAACCAGTCTTATACCTTTAGTGTAGAAAGCTCTGGATTCTGGTGAAGGAGTAAACTCTCCTCCTCCACCTGCAGGTTCTCCTGTGTGCTCATCAAACTGTCCTTATCATTTCATCACTGTTTGATTTGTTTTTCTGGGTTTTTTCTTTTGGTTGACAGTTTGGAAACTTCCTTATCAACGAGCACGGTCTCTGCCGCTCAGATGGCTGCGTGACCAACCTTCCCTTTAAAATCCTCTTGTGTTTGAGTCATTGAACTTTCTCTGACCTCGTCCTCCTTGTGCCTCACTGTTTACCTCCTGTGAAACATGTGCGTTGCTAAAGGAGATGGTTCATGCAAAAAGAAAATTCTCTCATTATCTACTCACTGTAAATTACATAAATAACATTTCACATAAAATGTAATTTTACAATTACAATTACATAACGTTTTTTTTATTATAATGCATTTTACGGATATATTTTAAACTCTGTTTAGTTTGTCCAAACAGATGCACTATTGGAATCGGATGCATTTATTTTGAAATGGTATTGACAGTAGTAGAAATAGTATACTTTTATTCTGAGAAGGTATTGCCGGAAAACAAAAGGTGTCCCTCGCAAAAGAGTGAGAAACATTACTTTTACTTTGTTTAGCACCTGGCTGATAAGGGCACAAGGTTTGTGGATATTTAATTTCTTATTGAACACAACAAACAAAGACAATTACATGTGGACTCATAAACATAAGATCACTATCATCAAAGGCTATTTTAGTAAATGAAATAGTCTCTGATCACAGTACTGATTTGTAGTATTGGTGGTTACCTAGTTTCCCTTTGGGGATGAATAAAGTAATCTATCTATCTATCTGATTAATTGTCCCTCACTGAGACCTGGCTGCATCCTAATGAAGAAATTATACATAACAATCAACATCGCCAACTTCCTGTTCACTTTATGGTTTGAGTCCAAGAGGCTGTTTTGTAAGTCTGGACATTCATTCTGGTTCATATTCCTCCTCTTCTTTATACATGTCAGTGAAATATGCCGGGCTGCTTTGTTGAAAATTATTAGGGGGCGCTGTCAAGCTATTTTGCCACATCCATATGCAAAACCCATAATGAAAGTAAATGTTGGTAATTTCCAACACATTTGTGACTTTTCCAGTGAGTTTATCCCCCAAACAAGTTCAGGCCGGGACTCTTATCAAACAGGTGAAGTTTGGTGCAGATTGAAAAATGTACACGGAAGTTTCAACAACTTCCTGTTTCACAGTGAAACATTAAGATTTGATGGCCATGGACACGCCCTCTGACAAAAACACACAAAGAGCAAAACTTATCATCATCAAGCTTTTTAGATTTAGGTTACCGACCAACGTGATCTGATTAATTCTCTCGGAGGAGGAGTTAAAGTACAACATGTGTGAATCGTCGATAATGACCACTTTTAATCCAAAATGGCCGACTTCTGGTTGAGTTTGGAATATGGGTCCTCTATCATCTTCATGCATTTTGGCCTAACTTGCCAAATGGGCTGCACTGTAGGGGGCGCTATTGAGTCAGTTGGATATGTCCATGTATGAAAACCATTTGACACAAACATTTCTCGAACATCACAAATTTGTTTTAGCAAAAGTTACAAATATTTCGGCCAAATAATATGATTCATTGGTTTGAAATATGGAT